TGGCGTCGCAGACATGATTCTTTGTGACACAATGTAGGACTGCCAGGGCGTGACAGACACGTTGGTTCGCGGTGTTGAAGTCCCAGGTGCGGTGTTTTGGAACGTTTCAGGATCTTCAGGGCGCAACCGTAATGTTGATTCGCGGCGTTGAAGTCCCAGGAACGGTGTTTTGGCATCGGGATTTTTCGACGTTAGTCCTCCAACGGGGCATTTCCTTCAGTTAAAAGTAAGTCTTCGTATGGGGCCTGTGAAGAGGGGGCTTGGAGGGAGGGTTGATTGTAACATCGTGGGTGAGTCTTGGGTTTGCACTGGTCCTCCTCCTCCTCCTGTTCCTTCTCGTGCTGCTTCTGTTGCTGCTCCTACTCGATCCGCTCCTCCGCCCCACTCCTTCCTTCTCTAGTGCATCGCGCAGATCCTCCTCCTTGTGCAACACCTCCTCCTCCTCCTCCCTCGATGCCTTTTCCTGCCAAGCCCCACGAGACGTGAAGTTTGGTCGATTGCACGAGACTCTATCCGAAGAGGCCAGGGATTAACGCATAGCTTGACTCAACCGGCCTCTTTCAGGGTGTCTGTGGCGGTGGGTGTCAGATCCCTCTCCTCCTCCTCCTCCTCCTCGTCCTCCTCCTCCTCCTCCTAATTCTCCTCCTCCTCCGTCCGCCCCCCATGCTCCTGGCGTAAGTATCCCTTCCTCCCCTCGTCCCGCTTCTGCGATTTACTTTGTCAATCGTAGTGGGCGTTGGGGGAGGGGGTTCATACCTCTCCTTCTCCTCCCCCTCCCCATCCTTACCCTCCACCGCTGGTTGTCCTTCCGCGTACAGAGTCCCGCATCCCCTCCGTCTCCTCCTTGTCATCGTTCTCCCTCCCTCCTTCCAGGGCGAGGGGGAGGGAGGGAGAGGAGAACAATGAGGAGAGTAGGGAGGAGCATGGGGCACAGCTGCGCTCGCGCCATATCTGACATCTTATCCCTTCCATGCATTCCGTCCCACTGCGCCGTTTCCTTGTGTATTCGTGGCGTGAGTGCTTTGCCCCCCCCCCCACACAAATCCCAGATGGCCCCATCGTGTGGCGCGCAATGAGAAGGCCTTGTACACTGGAGAAGGAGGATGGGGAGGAGGAGGAGGCGGTGGAGCAGATGGAATAGGAAGATGAGGAGGCAGGAGGAGGCTCAACAGCAGGAGCAGACTGAGTCGGATGAGCAAGAGAAGCATGAGAAGGCGGAGGAGGGGAAGGGGGTGAGGCGGCAACGCCGAGGAAGGAGTCGGATCTAGTAGCGTGGCCTGCGAAGGGGCGAGAGCGCCGCTATCGGTGAAGGGAGCAAAGCACCGATCTTGAAATATGACCGCCGCTCCAGCGGGAACACCACTTTGGAACGACCGAGGACGTTCCGATCGAAACGCCGCAGGATTGATCAATGTATGGAATCATGCGTGCTGTAAACTAGCCAAAGAGGTGGGAGCACACAAGGAGAGAGAAATGCTCGTATGGAGTAATTGATGAGTGGATGAGGATTGGGATGATGGTGATGATGCTGATGATGATGGTGATGATGATCATGCTGATGATGTGGATGAGGAAAATGATGAAGAGGATGATGCTGGTGATGAGAGTGATAATGATGACGATGACGATGGCGATGACAATGACGATGACGAAGCTGTTGATGATGAAGCTGCTGATGATGATGATGACGATGATGATGCGGAGGAGGGGGAGGATGAAAGGAGTGTAAACCCAACATCCATTAACGATGTTGCAAAGAATCTTCCCTCCAAGGTCCCTCGTAACAGGCTCCTATAATAATCGATCTTCACTGCGGGAAGAGCCCCATTGGAAGACAACCGTCTGAACATCTTCAGCAGTGCCAATGCACGATTCCTAGGACTTCAACGCCGCGAATCAACGTTCCCGTTGTGACCTGACGATTTTAAGTCGTGCCGGATTACCGTTTCTGCGACGTCAGCACCGCGAAACAGTATGAATGTTGCGCCTTGACAAGTTCAACTCGTGCCAAAACACCATCTTCGGGACGTCAGCAATAATAGTCTTTGCATGTGCTGTAGACTGTTAGTGCGCGGCGCCAAGGCGAGAGCCATAGTTTGAAAATGAACCGCCTTCCATCCGTGAAGCTCCTGCAAACTTTTAAGACGAATGCATGCGGCGCTAAGGCGAGAGCCACAGTTTGAAAAGGACAGGCCGCGCACGGCGCTCAGGCGAGAGCCACATTTAGAGACCTGGCAGCCCTCCGTCCGTGAAACTCCTGCAAGCGCTTAATCATGTGTTATAAGAATGTGCGTGGCGCTGAGGCAAGAACCACGTTTTGAAGAAAACCGCCTGCCCTCCATCCGTGAGTGAAAACTCTGCAAACGTGTATGACGAATATGCGCGGTGCCCACGCGAGAGCCACATGTTCGGAACCGCCCGCCCTCTATCCGTGAAGCTCTTGCAAGCTCTCAAGCTCCAGGATCATAAATGGTGAGGAAGTCTCCGGCGAAACGCCCGGCCCACCCTACCGACGCGTCTCAGGGTGCGGCAGGGAGGAGCTTTTTCTCGGGAAAAGAGAGGAGGAGGAGGAGGAGGAGGAGGAGGAGAAGGAGGAGACGGAGGCGGAGGCGGAGGCGGAGCAGGAGCAGGAGCAGGAGCATGGATGAACGAGCGCGCCTAGCTTGCTACTTTCCCCTTGCCCCCCCCCTCGCCCGGCAGGAGGGCCCTCCGACCGCGATCGTGCTCGGGGCCCTCCTCTCCCCCCACCCTCGCCCCAGGGGCCCCTCGTCGCAGGAGCCATGGTCAGCTGCATTCGCGGGTGGCCAGGAGGGCGGTAATGATTAGGAGGGAGGATATGATGGCGGGGGCCAGGAGGTCACCCCAGATATCGTGGCGCCTCTTCTTATCTCAATGCGTCCCCTGACCTCCCCCCCTGAGCCGCGCACATGCCTCGGGCCATGACTTGTGCACCCCCCTCTTGGACGCCCTCGATGCACGCCCGAGTGACCTTTCGCTGGAGTGGCCCCCAGCGCGCGGCACTGGGCGGGCCAGGAGGGGGTCCAAGCCCAGGCGCGCGGGCCGCTGCCGTCGCACGGCACGCAACAGTCGGCCAACTGCGCGGCAGAGGTCACTCTTTGCCTCCAGTCGCTCGCGCGTACGGCAGGTTCGTGCCGTGCCGACACGGCAGCGACCCCGCCGCGGGGGTTTAAGGCTGAGTGCCGCCAGCTGCCCAGGATCGGCCAAGATGGGAGGATCCGGCGATCGGAAATCCGCCGGTCGTTCAAGATTGCACGATCCACGCGGTGTCACAAGCCAACGCCCAGGGTCGTCACGACACGAACCTGCCGTAGCCGAATCCTGGGAGGCGTGGGGGGGGCGGCGGCGGCGGGGCGCGGACAAGGACGTGTCGCTGGTGCCGGGGGGGCAGCCAAGACCCCCTCATGCCCGGCAGAGGAGTGGAGGTAGGAAAGGGGTGTAGTGTAAAGGGGCGTAGCGCCAATGCCAATGTTGACTCTGGCGATGTTACCAATCGTAGATAAGATCGCCATTTTTCACGATTTGCACCGCACCCCTTTATTCCACACGGGAGGAGAGGTGGTGGTATCGCCCCCGCCCTGGTGCTCTCGGCAGGGCCTTGTCTAGAGGAGGGAGACGAGGAGGGAAGAGGAAGAGGAGGAGGAGGAACAGGAAGAGGAGGAGGAGGAGGAGGAGGAGGAGGAGGACGGGAGAAGGACGGCAGGAGGAGGGGAGGAGGGAGACGGGGAGGCGGAGCTGGCCGTCATTCTGGCTGGAGGGTTCCCTGCAGGTCTTTAGGAGATCGACGCGTGTAAGCTCTGGGCCTTCCTCCTTCTCTAGCCCGTCTAAGGGTCAGGCTGGCTTGTTTTTGAACCTCCGGCGTCTTCACCACGGTCAAAGGACGGTTTCCTTGCCGAGGCGCCCTTCGGATCCGCCCGGGATTGTGAGTGATCTGGGGCTGGGACAGGTGACGCTGCAAGAGATCTCCCCAGAGTGCGGCAAGAACTCGCCTCATCTGCTGTTTCAGCTCGTCGCAGTGTGCCCACCAAGGAAGGCGGAGCTGAACAGGCGGCGTGCTGATCAGAGGGGGTACGTCGGGGTGCCGGGGTGAATGAGAGCAGTCCAGACGTAGAGGGGGTGCCAGAGCGGGCTCGGCAGCAAGACTTCCCCCGAGGTCTGCGCTTTGGCCGGCTGCACCTGCTAGATGTGGAATTGCCTCAACGTGGGGCTGAAGACCATCTGGAAGAAGAGGAGAGGCTGGACCATCTATGGCCATCATGGCCTGCTTGGCCGTCCGGCGCTTTTCTTACGTAAACGTTGGGTTCGGCGCGCAGTTCGAAGTTTCTCCGACACTTGATCAGGATCATCGGAGTCTGCAGCTTTGCCCTTTGCATTCTGAGCTCGCTCCTTGTGCAGGGACAGGGTCGCTGGCGCAGAGGGCCGCAGAGCCGCACACATCATAGCGCCCGCTACCGCAGTAGCCGCAGCAGCAACAGTGCGCCCCCGCACGTGCTCCTGGATCGCCGCCAGCACAGCCGCCGCCACAAGGGAGGGGCCATCAGCAGCTATGGCGCCCATGTGTGTTTAGTAAGGGGAGGCTCGGGGGTCAGCTAAACAAATGTGATAGATTGGGCCATTCGGGGGCGAAGCGCGCAGCCTCTTGTCGCATGAGGCCCGATCCAAAAGACAGGTCAACTCCGCCGGGATTTCGCGAGGAAGCCGCCCGTTTGAGGTCGCGCGTGGGCCCCCCCTTCTCGTCCGCGCAGCTTGCCGCTCTGACGGCCTGCATAGCCACCGCGCGAGGTCGCTGCGTCCACGCGCGCGAGATTCCTTGTTCGTCGTCGCTCGCTTGAGGCCCTGGGTCCCCGAGGCCACTTCGGCTCGGAGAATTTCGCGCGATTGTTCCTTCTCCTTCTCCTTCTTTTTCTGTTTTGTTTTATACTCCTCCTCGCCATCATCATCGTCATTGCTGTCGTCGTCAGCATCACCATTACCATCATCATCACACTTAACATCAGCAGCAACAGCATCACCATCATCAGTAACATCATCATCCACATTATCATTACCATGGTCGTCATCGTCATCATCCTGCTCCTCGTCACCATTATAAGTATTATTAGAATTGTCATCATCGTCATCATCCTCTGCAACATCATCATCGCCATCCTCATCATCAACAACAACATCGGCATCGTCATCATCATCACCATCAGCATCACCATCATTATCCGCGTCATCACCATATGCATCAGAACCATCATCATTACCATCATATCCACCATAATCATAATCAACATCAGCATCATCATCATCGTCATCGTCGTCATCGTCGTCGCCATCGTCGTCATCACCAGCAGCAGCAATGTCATCATCACCCCTTATTGTCATCGTTGTCCTTCCCCCTCCTCCTCCTCCTCCTCATCCTCCTCCTCCTCCTCCTCCTCCGCTTCGTCCTCCTCCTTCTCCTCCTCCTCCTCCTCCTCCTCCTCCCTCCCTCCTCCTCCTCATCCTCCTCCTTGTCTCTCCCTCCCTCCTTTCCTTCCTCCCTCCCTCCCTCCCTCCCTTCCTTCTCCTCCTTCTCCTTTTCCTCCTCCTCCTCCTCCGCCACCCCTCCCCCCCGCCCTCCCCCGCCCCGAGGTGCTGCGGTTCCTGCCGCTGGAAAACGTGACGCTGCTGCTCCGCGAGCACGTCGCCTCGATGCCCGCGGGCTCATCGTCCCCAGACCTGCTGAAGGTGGACGTGGACCACTCCGACTGCCGCTTCATGGAGGAGGCGTCCCTGGAAGACGACGCCGACGCCGACGCCGACGCCGACGCCGACGCCCGGGACTCGACGAAGAAAAAAATGCATAAACATAAACTTTCGGAGCTCCGCGCGGATTTCTCGAATCGGCGCTCGGGCCCCCCTGGCGGTACCTCTGGAACCGCCCCTTGCGCGCTCCGCGCGCCAGCGAGAGGGGTCCAGTGCCGATCCGAGAAATCATGAGAAATCTGCGCGGGGTTCCGAAAGTCTCTGTTCATGTCATGTGTACGCCTCTAGACCCCGACCCCATATTCCTGACATCGTAATCATCTTCGCCTTCATTCAATGGATCTTGGCTTCTGTGGGCGTGTTTTTCGCTCCTGGGTGGAGGAGAACCGACCTCTGCGAAAGGGGTCGAGACCTCAAGGGGGGCCGCTGGGCTGAAGAACAGAAGACTCGGAGGGCACCAGCTACACACACAGACACACACACACACAAACACACACGAACACACACGAACACACACGAACACACACGAACACACACACACACACACACGCACTTGCACACACACACACAGACACACACACACAGACACACGCAGACACACACGCGCCAATCCTGGCCATGCCAGGATCGGCGTGTGTGTACGTTGTTGGCGCCATCCTGAACGACTGCGCGAACACTATAAACTCTCGGAGGTCCGCGCAGGTTTCCAGGGCCGGCGCTGGGCCACCCTCCCCACCCTCCCCCGGTCGGCGCGCGGAGCACGCCAGGGGCGGCGTTGGAGGATCACCGTCCCGACTCGTGCATGGAGGGTGTTTTTCACCCTCTGGGCCATAACGCGCGTGATGCCCCCATACCCTCCCCCCCCATAACATAACTTGCCCCCCCTCAGCGCGTCCCCGGCACTGCCACAGTGCGTTTGGCACTATAGTTTTGGGGGGGGGCCGTTACGTTATGCCCCCCCCCGTCCCTCCCCCCGTGAATCGGGGGAGCTCCGGACATACCCGCCACACGCGTCGGGAGCAGCAGCATTCAGCTAGCCGCTTGGCATGGTATGTAATATATACATATTTTGGGGGTGGCCTCCCCTGAGGCCTCCCCGGGCATTGCATCCTTGTTTTCTTTGTCGAAGGGTCTGGTCCTTACGGTATCAGCTCATCCAGAAACAGGGGCTGCGCTCAAGGAGCCAAGCCGATGTCTTGACTCACTTAGCTTTCACAAGGACCTTTATCCCACAAAGTGGGATAACGCATGTTTAATGCAAGCGAAATTCGTGACATGTTCGTTGTTTCGTGTTCATAGCACGGCATGAAACGGACCACGCGGGAACCAACAGTAGAACCGTGGTGCTGCCCCTATGTTAGCACGCGTAGTTACAAGTTCCCGTGGTGCTGCCCCTATGTCTGAACATGTGTCTCAAGATCTCTGGGGGCTTAGCGGCAACGCCGCCTCCAGGGATGGGTTGCAATGTATTTTGTACTCTAGGTCAGCAGCTTCAGGCCGATTTTCGCCGTAACGCTGCACTTTTGCTCAAGATGCGGAGTCTGGAGGAAAAAGACTCTTCCGCCCCAGGCGTGGTGAAGCGGAGGGCGGAGCCTCAGCGGCAACGCAGGCTCCTCCTCCGCCTAGCCACGTCAGTGGGCACCCTCTTACGTTTGCACCTCCGCTACCCTCACAATCCCAATACTCGACACTCATTCCCCATCCCGCCAGCATTAGCACTTTATATTCTCAAGCTCCTGAGCGAGGGGACCGAGGTATCGGAGTTGGTGGAACTTGTCGAGACCACAGTGGGCCCGACCAGCCGGACCCGAAGCAATAAACAGAAGAAATGAACCCTTGGGGTGGACAATACCCTGCGCACTACCCAGTGGGCGACCACGAGGCGCCCACAAGGGTTATGAGCCCAAGCCAACGACTTGGGGTTTATCATGCTACCTCATCGAGTACGGCATCCACATGGTTGATTCGCACGTGCAAGTGCTGCGGGGACGTGGTCACAGGGCCAACTGTGCCTTGCCCGGCCTGCGGGCAGCAAGTGCACGGGCACTGCACTGTTGCACGTGCTGGGCACGCCGTCTGCACGGAGTGCGCGAACGAGATGGACTTCGCGTTCGCTCACCACCAGGCCGCCCGCCGATTCCAACAGCATGGGATCGGGTTCGGCCGGCTGATGTCCTCCAGTGGGCAATTGGCGGGCCAGGCGATCGGTTCGGTCGCTTCGGGCACGATCTCCGGCGCTGCTCGGCTGGCGAGCGGCTGCGCAGCTGGAGCCAGGAGTGCTTGGACAGGAGCGCGCGCGGTGGAACTCGTGCCGGCGACTGCCGCCGAGCCCCACGAGGCGCCAGCTGTGCTCCGCCCCAGGGCCCTCGAGGAGTACTACGACGCCTCGGAGGCAGGGAGCGCGAGCGCAGGAGCAGCAAGAGCAGCAACAGCGACTGCGGAGCTCATGACGGAGTTCCGCCGGATGCGGCAGGAGCTGAATGACCTCAAGGCCGAGAACCAGCGCCTTCGCGATGGTACCGCGGACGGTGCGGAAGGTGCGGGCCAGGAGGGACCAGGATTTGCAACGCCTAGCCAGAGGACTGAGGACCAGACCTCGGCAGTGGCAGCGTCAGGTCAGGAGGAGGAGGAGATAGATAGGCTGCTCAACATCGTGGGGGCCACGGTGGACCAGCAGGTGAGGCAGGAGAGTCGCCAGGACGATGGCGGTGCTGCGGCGGTTGAGCCCGCGGTGACGGCAGCTGAACAGACAGGAGGCTGCCAGGACAACCCCCCAGGCCTGGGAAGCATGGGCACGGCGCCCGCCAGGAGGCAGGAGGGAGGCGGAGGACCTTTTCCTCCTCATCTCGGAGCTCAAGGTGTTCAGGGCGATCTTCTTGGAGCTGCGGGCGTTGGAGGGCTCGGAGGACTGGGAGGCCAAGGAGGAGAAGTTTTTGGACCACCCAGAGGCTGCGGAGGACATCCAGGAGGTCTAGGAGGAGGAGTTTTCGGACATCCTGGAGGCTGCGGAGGGCATCCAGGAGGTTTCGGAGGATATCCAGGAGGCCGCGGAGGACATCCAGGCGGCTGTGGAGGACCAGGAGGACCAGGCGGAGGAGGCCTCGGGCCGCCCGCAGGCGCAGGAGGACCTGAGCGCCCCGATGGCTTTCCAGGAGCCCCTGGAGGAGGATCTCCGGGACCCCCTCCCCCGCCGCCACCTTTCGGCAGTGCTGCTGGACCCGCTGATGGCGGTGGCCCGCAGCGAGACGCGTCTCTGGAAAGCACGCTGGCCAAGTTGAAGGCCGCGGAGCTCCCGAAGTTGGAGTGGAAGGGAGGTGTCAAGGAGAAGCCGGGCATCTTCGAGAGCTGGCTTCAACGCATCACCATGGACCTCGGCGGCATGCACTACCTCATCGAGCGGTACTGGGAGAAGGTGCTGGAGGTCGTGCAGGACGCCTACATGAGCTATCTTCGGCATGGGCCGTTGGATCGCCCTGCGATTCGTCCTGCTCAGCCCCGTCAGTGGATTGATGCCAGGCTGGACGCTATAAATTTCAACAGTTGCGAGTTGAGGTTAAGAGGGATCTTGATGGCGTTGGTGCCAGATGGCGCCAGGCAGGCGTGCTTGAGCACGAGGCAGACGGCGACCACCGACATCGTCTTCGCCGCCTACGTGGACGCAGGCCCGGGGACAGGAACTGACAAGGACTTCGCGCTGAACGCCGTGGACACGGCGAAGGAGGTGGATACGAGGCTGGTGTACGAGGAGTTGCAGAAATGGAAGTTCGCAGCGACTCGTCTTGCTCGGATGGGCGTGACGCCGCCGGACCCGAGTCGACAGCTGGCCTCGCTGAAGAAGATCGTCAACTGGATGCTCGAGAAGGACCAGGAGGTCAAGCACCGGCACTTTGCGTTCATCGTGAGCCGCAACATGACAGGAGGTCTCATCAGCCAGGCTCAAGTGGATGAGTTGTGGCGCTACCTGTCGGCCGAGGCTCGCGAGTTCGCCGGCGTTGGCCCTGATAAAGAGAAGTTGGACCCTGCTGCCAAGGCCGCCAGAGCGGAGGCAGCACGACTCGCTAGAGCCTCCAAGGGGGATCCGAAAGGAGGTAAAGGGGACCCCAAAGGAGGTAAGGGCGACCCGAAGGGCAAGGGCGACAAGGGCGGCAACGGCGGCAAGGCCAAGACCGACCAGAGCGCCTCCGGGAGCCCTCCCAAGAAGGTCTGCACGTTCTTCGAGACGGCCGAGGGCTGCTCGAAGGGGGCACTGTGCACGTTTGGCCACCGCAAGTTGGCCCCAAGCGATGGGAAGTGCTTCAACTGCGGTGCGACGGCTCACAAGTCGTCGCAGTGCACTCGGCCAAAGGCGGCGGCGAAGGCAGCGCAGGCTCCTCCCTCGAATGCCCAGGCGTCTTCCCCGACTCCAAAGACCCCGACGGGCACGGTCGAGCAGGTCGCGGCGCAGACGGCCCGAGCTGAAGCTCGTGCCGAGCTGTTGAGCCTGCTGCAGATGGGGGACGCGCTGCAGCCTCCATCGACCTCGCGGGCTGCTGTTGCCAGCGATTTCTGGGACTCGGTTCCGATGTCCCCGGAGGCCTCTCCGAGAACATCCCGCACGGGCGGCCCCGCTGCGAGGACAGTGAGCGTCCGCGCGAAGGTGATGACGGCCGGCGGCAAGCGGATGCTGCTGGCGGATACTGGAGCCACCCATGAACTTCGAGGAGTGCGGGACCTGACCGACGTTCACCCCCGAGCTCACGACGTGAGGCTGAAGACGGCCACCGGAGAGCAGCCCGCCAAGATGCACAAGGAGATCGTGTACGTGAAGGGCGAGGGCCTCCAGGGGCTGTTCCCGCTGGCAGCATACATCGAGCAGCTGGAGCTCGAGATGGCGTGGAACACCGCGGAGTGCAAGGTTCGCATGCGCGATGGTCGGGAGTTGCATCTTCATCGCGATGGCGGCTCGATCTATATCTCGGAGGAGGACGCCGACGTGCTCGGGACAGCGCGGCGTGCGCAGCAGAGACACAATTTTCGAGCGT